TTTGATAAAAATCAAATTGATTCTTTCTTTCATGTATTTGTGAATAAACGTAGAATATATTTGTAATCAAGACTTTGTTTGTACTGACAAATTTCTGATGGAATGTTTGAAATTGTGCAAAGTCAACTTTAGCGTATTCAACAGTTTTATTTTGAAGTTTTATCACTGTATTAAGTTTTGTGTTACTCTAAATCTAGTATTTTAATTTGAATAGCACATTAACAACTCCTTTCCTTATACAACAAAGTCCTTGTTGGTTAAATGCTGATTATTACCTACGGATTGTTATGAATAATTTTGAATGAGGGATTATAATTCTTTAACAGTTTTATTCATTGTCTTTCAAGGTTCTTTTAGGGACAGCCCTTGGTTTTGTGGGGAGTTTCGTAAGAGAAATGAACAACACGTCTGAGAGAAGCTCGAATAGCAACGATTGCATTGCAGTCAACAGTTGCCCCAGTTGCTAATGATATGGGAATCTTTGGACGTGAGGAAACCTTTCTTTTTAGTTTTTCCCCATGAAACATAGACACAATGACCAACAAACCTTTGTTTCACAAATGCCAGTGCCACAACATTGGCAAGAGACAAGTCCATAGGAGAAGCACCAAGAAATCCTTGGGTCAAATGAATCCAGAATCCACTGTTGGTTTCTGAAACATTTTCATGGTTTGTGTTTAGCCATTTCCGATATTCTTCTTTTGCCGCCTCTTCATGCTGGCAGCTCCATCTTGTTGCTGTAGTTGAAAATTTCTTCAGCTCTGGATAACAAATGCTTGCAATCAGACCCTTGGAAGGTAAATCTCCGTTAATGCATCAAGCTGCTTTGAACCTTGAAGCAGTCACTCTTTCAGCACCAAATCGAAACCAAAGACGAGAATTTGCTTGATCTCTAGCTTTTTCTTCCACAGCTTTTTGCTGCTTAGCTGTGACATTAAAGGAGTCTAGTTTCGATTCTGATAATTCCAGCAAAGTTTCAAGTGATTTGTCTAATAATGTTGGATCATAAAGATCACTCATGACTTGTGGCGAGTCAAAGTGCCAGGCTTTAGGTACATAACAATCAGAATATGTATGTATTAAAGAAAGTATTGCTGGTTTTGATGAAAAAGAACTAATAGTTTTAAAGTATTCATCCAATTCTGATAATGATGGGGCAGGGACTGGATTTCTTTGCACTTTGCCTTTGCATTTCTTATTAAATTTACTAAAATTGATATACTTTACCTTAGCGTATGGCACAGCCTTGACAGTACTTGGAATGACCAAGTATGCTTCTTATTGGTCAATTAGAGAATCTCGTCTTCGTGCACCAGCTTCAACAGCCCACAGAAGTAAAGCGACGTGAGAGCAGCTTTCATCTGTTCCTGCCATACAATCGCAGTGCGCTGTTAATACTTTGCCGTTCTTTCGTAAACGACCCAAGGAGGAAGTGGCTTGTCCGACATTCTTTGAGAGTGATGAACCTGGTGTAGTAAAAAAGAAACCAGGTGTTCAGTCTCATTATAGCACGAGTGCAGCCAATGTGCAATGTTTTTAGTAACAACTGAGAAGCATTTACCTTAGCAATAAGCAAGCAATGGTCGTCAACTTTTTTCACCAACACTTCACGCACTCATCCATTCACAAAATTTTCATAACTATCAAGACTCTTATAGTTTTTTAAATGCTCGTTCGTGTACAGACTGACCGAAAACAATAAATACATGCCAACATCAATGTAGCTAGCGCTGACAGCAGGCCACAGATCGATATCGTCGAGCCATTGATTTTTTGGTATTTCGTACGCCTCATCTCCATTGCAATGTCCTAATTTCATTTTGTAACGCGCTTTACTATCCTTGCACTAAATATTTTCTATATATCTAGGCAAAAATTTTTTTTGACCTAGAAAGCGTTGACTTTATGTTACTAGTCATATTAACATGTAAAGCGTGCACGTGTGCTTGTCCTCCAGATGCTCCCCCAGCTACAGTTGCTAAAGCGTGCGTGACGTCACTGCAAAGGGTCTTTATAGCTACAAAGAAAACGCACTGGCAAACTATGCCCCTTTGTATATGACAAAAGTTTAAGGTTGTAACTCTTTCACATCTCTAAAATTTTGTTTAAACTCAAGATGAAATTAAGGGATACAAAATAGAAGTACCAAACGAGAACCAAGCCCACTGACAAAATCACCATCGACAGAAAACGTAAACACAAGAAAACTGAAGAGATTTGTGACTCATATGGACACGATAAAAATGTATCATCTACCTATTAGGATTTGGGATGATTGATCTAGACCCAGGTCGATAACATGGAGTATGTCGAACGAATAGGGGTTTTATTTCATAATAGAATCTCATAAAAATATTGCAGTTTTTTATATTCAGTGTAACTAACACCTAAAGGACATTTTCCGGATGGCGTATGTAAAATTGTCACAAAACAAAGAATTGATTGCGTTTAATGGCATTAAATTGCATTTAAATTATTTTCTTTCGAATAAAGTGAGTGCAGACAAGATGATTGTATGAACACACAAGTCAGCGTATATCGTTGTGCAAAATGCTGGATCACGACTAATTAAATTTAACGGGACTTTATTTTTGTAATGAGGTATTTTCGATGACGATATAATTTTTACAATGTTAATAATTCGATGGTTTGCAACGATGTTTAGTTCTGTACCCAACAGCAGCGTCAACACGTGGACTACATTCATAATCCCAGTTCACCTCGAAAGAGCAACGCAGGGTATAGTCCTTAATGTAATAAAGCCAACAACGCTTGCAATCTCACTACGCTAAGTACACAGTGTAATGATTCCCCAAACTTGTTTTAAACTTCCGATGCCAAATGTAAGTGTTTGCCATAAACAGGCAGCTAAAAAGAACTGCATGAAAATATCTTAATTGGGTAGCAATAGGACAAAGCAAAAATATTATCTTTAAGTTGCATAATTGAACATATTGAACATATTGAACAAATATTATTATGTTCAATAACTATAGTGTGTCCTCCTCTTGCTTTAAATAAGGCTTAACTAGTTTAGTCATGTTATTTATCAAGTGTACCAATCTTTAGAGAGGATGGTAATATATCATGCCAATCCCACTTGACTAGACTAAGCTTAAAACGTTGTTTTTAGCTTCATGTGTATTTTTGTTCACCGCAGACATTTACTTTCCTTATTATTGCAAACAGCATTTGTATACATCATAATAATATAAATCCTTATACTTACCATGTGATTTTTTAAGGTGTCATATTTACATCCTCTTTTCTTTGCATTCTGTAAACAAACACATATCATGGTTACATATTTCTTACAGATTTTATCTTAGGTAGAATATTTTATCATAGCAAATTTTTTACTATGTATAATTATTACTTTCCTCGTCTGAGTAGGTGTAGGTATCACATTTTAACCAATCAAAATTGAGCAAACACCCTTGAATGTTTGCTCTTGGAGCTGGAGAAGCTGTCAGTAGAGTACGGGGGTATTCGAGCAAACTCGTGTGTTCATTGTAGTGGCGTTCCGTTTGATAAATTTCCACACTTGAATATTGCTTAACGTTGCAAACATTACAGAATTCACCAGGAGAAAAGGTTAGATACAATTTTCAATAGACATGTGCTTTTTAATTTAAACCTATTCTGTCGTTAGATTTATCGCTTCCAATATAATGCAATTCTTCATTTTTTTTCTACAAATAGTACAGTCTGAAAATGGACTTATCACTTTCATGTGATTAATGCCCTGTATTTTTGTAAAATATTTCATGATCTTTAATATAGATTTGACAGATGCATGAGGCGTTTGCTGCTATTCAAAGCGATATTGCAGTCATGTGCTTATCAAATTACATTTATGAAATCTTCAAAGTTTTTGCTTCTGCTAAATTTGACAAGTCAACTAAATATACATATGTGCAGCACGAATGGAGCATGTGAATAATTTTGCGTTTTGTTGTAGTTTCATCGCGACCACGTTATATTATGATGCTTTAATAGTTCCAGAACGTCACTTAGTTTTTGGAGGTAGGAACACGTACACGACTGGCATAGTGAATAACCGTGTGAGCGTTGGACGTAGATAGTTTCCATAGGCCCCAAACAACAGAAACTTGGGTGTATTTTCTTATAAGAAAGAATAACTCTAAACGAAAGTTACAGAAACAGGCATCGAAATATCGTCGTTTATAAAAAGTAAAAACGTCTTATGAGGATGTATTTTGAATTCTTTCCTGGGCCCCCTATTGCTATTGACGATCAGCTATTATATTTAAGTGACTATCTCATTACATTTAATTACGTTATTGAGCTTGCATTCATATTTAAGTTACCAAATCCAAAAATTCTTGGATTGACTAATATTGTTGAACTTAATTAATATAGCGAATTACTTATTCATTAAAACGGTTTTCCGCTCGGCCTTTGGTTGAACAGATTGTTATAAACAGCCTCACATCTGGTTGATTGAATAAGAATGAAGAACAAGTGTACATACTAGCTACAAACTTTTTGCATGGATTGGATTTGTAGCAGTTACACATTGAAGAAAATTTTTTGTGTGTAGACTGAAAATGCCTACAATACGTCTCTCTGCGCCAGATATCTGTGCCTCAAACCAAATTAGTCATTTGCCAAGATAAAGTGCTTCTAAAACGAAGGAGGTCTTTGATTCTTTGACAACGTTACCTAAAAAATCGCAGAGAATGTTGTTACTCCTAGATTAACAATTATCCAGGGAGGGAGCAGCTCACAACCCCTCCCTGGTAACTGTCATATTGTAAGTGCAAGATTAAGCAGAAGATCTCATATTGATTGGTTCACTGAATTTTATTCTATAACTCTCTATCAAATTCATGTAATTCCTTGACTGTTTAAATTAATAAGTTCTCTTGTTTTTTTATGTTAATTGGTACACAAACATATGTTAAGTATTCATGAGATAAAATAAAAATACCTATCATGCTTTCTCTCACAAAGTCAATACACGATAAAACGTAAAGACACAGAGTACATGCTTTTTGTTTCAGGGGGAAAACTTTATCATGGCAGGTGCAGCTTCCCGAATCGGACTTATTGTATTGTCTATTGCACAAATAGTAAGAAATTTTCATCGTTTAATTCAAGTCCTTATGCAATTTAAATTTTTAAGTAAATTTTAAGATAGTAATCTCTTAAAATGCATTTGATTTTGCATTTGATCATAAAGCCCTTGTTATTTAGATTTTAATTGCTATGTATTGACAATTTTCTGTTGACGTGCCTTAAAATTGTGTGGAAACAAAAAATTAAATGTTTTCAACAACATTATTTTGCAGTTCCATTACAGTTTAAGTTTTATATTACTCGAAATCTACAATCGCAATTCTTTTATATTTTGATAGACACTCAAAAAACTCTTTCCCTTGTGAAATAAATGTCTTACGTGATCGAACTCTACCACTGACCGATTATCATGAATAATTTCATGAGGCAAATTTTTTTCTAAATTTTGTTGATTATTCTTTTTAAGGTTCTTTTAGTAACAGCTACTGGTTTGGTAGGTTTTTTCTTGAGTCAAATGAACAAAGCCTCCGAGAGAGCTGCTAAAAGTGCATCGATTTTTCAAGAGTCAACTGCTGCTCCTGTTACTAATGATGTTGGAATCTTCGGACGTGAAGAATCCTTTCTTTTTTCTGCTGCCATCGGAATCGTCATTGCTTTCTGCTCCTTGATTATTGCAATTTCACAGTCTCACAGCAAAACCCCGTGTGCTGCATCTGTAAGTATACATGAGCTTGAGTCTTAACAGTTTTTGGTTGGTACAAATTAAATTTGTTAACTTTAATTAATTGTTTCCAAGTCCATGAGTAGAATTAGAAAAGTTTTAACTGGCTCTTGTTTATCATTGTGTCAAAATAGAAATCAATATAATTGGCTGTATAGACTTTGTTTCTAATTAGGCTAATATTTTGATTCGTTTTTCTTTTATTGAAGATGGTTACTGCGCATGTGTTGTTGCTACTTCTGCTAGTGGTGTCTTCATCCATAATGGCCAAAACAGCGGAAAAATACGACACATTACATCTATGTAAAGAACTAAAAGAAACTAACAGTGACAAACAATGCACTCATTTGACAGTTGGAGTCGTAAGTACCGTATTTCAAACTTTTCAATGCCTTTAGTGCAAAATGTGTAGTTACCATCTGATTGATCTGAGTGGTATCATTCTGAATAAAAAAGGGGAAATTTTATAAATAAATGTTTAGTGTTTTCATATGGTGTCAAAGCCGCCAAGTTGTAGGTCACTGTAAAGTATCGATGTCACTCCACGGGCATGTAGTAAAAGCAACTAGTAGCTTTTATTTATTTGCTTATAAGATTTAATATATCACAGTAAAGACACTTTGTCGAGATGGCGAATCTGATTATTGCCTTCAAAAGCGTATAGTTGTTGCACACCATTTGACGAAAATTCAAATACACATTTCAAAGCGTAGTTACACCACGATTTGTGCATCTGCTCAAACTTTCATGAGAAAAATAAAACTGATATGAAGCAATTCCGCAAGCACTTTCGACGCTTGCCTTTGCTGCAGTGGCGTAGCCAGCCCGCAAGTTCGCTCATACTATGTAAATTTTTTCGTGTTCACTCACTGTAAAAACAATAGATTTCTAAAGAAATGAATAATGCTTATGATGAAAAATTTACATGGCATGAATAAATTTGTGGGCTGGCTACGTTCTCCACTGTTTTGCAAAAATATTTGGCCAAGACAACGCAAAATGAGACTATTCTTTCAGATATTGTCCATTGCGCTTTTATTACTACCACATGTTCTTTTGCAATGCAAAGAAACAACTGCAGAAAAACTATTAATTTATAAAATTTCACTTGTTTACTTATTCTCTTTAGATTTCGGCTTTTATTTCTGTTATGCTGTTTGTTGGTAGTACCGTCATTTACTGTGCATCTTTATCACAGATGGTTCAAATCAACTTTACCACCGACATGCACACTTACTCCAGTTGAAGAGTAATGTAGAAGATCAGAGTATGGCCACTAGAATGAGTAGTGTCGCAACTGTTTTTGTTTTATTTGTGGAAGATTTTTGGCCCACTGTTGATAAACATATGATCAGCAATCTCTTGGAATTAAAAGTTGTATTCAAAATTTAGCTTGATGTGAAATATTCATAAGCATTAGTATTGTTTCAAGAGAACTAAAGCCCTAATTTCAAATGACCGGATGAAGTTTTGTGTAATCAAACCTTTGTTCAGTATACACGTATGCGAAAAAAATTCTTCTACCGCCATCTCTATTTATACTGAATGTGCCAATAGACAAAGTTTCACAATTACTTCTCCTTTCTGCAAAGTCTTTTTCAGCAACTACGTGTTTTGAATTGAGACTTCCTATGTTAAATGTAAGTAAGTATGTAATACTTTCTCAATTTAAATACTGTAACGTCTCTTTATCATATGCATATGTTACTTTCCAGCCAAGGACATTTATTTCCCTTATTTCTATAAATAATAGCACTTACTTCCTATGTTATATTGCCACGTATCATATTTATATCTCCATTTTATTTTGTGCAATACGTAAACACAACTTACGTATCACAATCACATTTCGTAACAGCTGACTGGCATGGTTGAAGGTTGCAATATTTTCGAAATGAAGGATGAATTATTTGGCGACGTATCTGTTAAAAATAGATTGAAGATGTGATTCACACAACAATTGCTTCAACAACAACACCATCAACATTTCGTGAGTCACTTAACGTGATAGCTAATGGCTGCCAAACGGGGAAATGATTTCGAAAAAATGTAACGATTTTACCCTATGAACATGGTTTTATAGTCTTGCATGCTTTAGATGAAATATTTTATTATGAAATATTTCCTTTTGTTATTGTTTTTCTATATGTTTCCTCTTCTCTCTATGTCCTTGTCACGTGATAAAGTCTTACTAATCAACATTAAAGAAACCTAACACTCTCAAAATTCGCTGTTTACTCTGGCAATTTGTAAGAGACGTCATCTGTAGTATATTAGAGTACTCAAGCAAATTCATTTGATTGACTGACCTTCCACACTTGCTCATTTCTAAGGATTGCAAACATTACAGATTTGCAAAGAGAAAAAGGTTAGATAACATGTGCTTTTTAAACCTTTCTATATACTTACATTTATCGCATCCAAGTTAACACATTTATGTCTTTTCTGTGATTTTTCTACAAAGATTTAAGTCATAAAATGTTCTCGTACAACCAAAGTCCTTCATTTGAGTAACATATTTAACAATGATCAGTATTGATTCGAAACCTGATCTTTATAACTGTATTACTCAACGCGATATTTCAACCATGTGCTTTACCAATTTTAGCGTTCAAATATCCAACGCTATTGTTTAGATTGAATTCTTCATGCCAGTGAGACTTTCATGCACATTGTGTCTGTCGAACTGCAATAAGAATGTAGCGTTTTAACATTCTTATCGCGTCCGCGCGTTTTATAATGATGCTTTATAGTTGCAGAATGTCGCACAGCACGAGGTTGGCACACAAAAATACGTCAAAATTTTTTGGTAGTATGAAAATTAAACTTGCAAAGTTCCCAAAGAACAAAAAGTTATGTGTATTTTATTATAAGAATAAAATGATGATAAGCAAATGATTTAGAAACGTGCATGGAAATAATAATTTATAAAATATGTTATGGGATGTATTTTAATTTCTTTACTGACCCCCTGCTGAAATAATGAATTTTCACGATGACAGACGACCGATTATCACATTACAATCCTTCAGTGATACCAACAGTCCTCCCCTAACCTGGACAATCTGCATCGACAAGGTCTAAACAGTTCACTAGCACTGAATAATTGTAGCTTATGATTGAAGTCACATAAGATTTGCTCATTTGAGTTAATAGGTAAAATCCTTTGTTTGTTTTTTCTCGATCAATGTTTGCACGACACAAATCAAAACATCTAAGATTCTGAACTATTTTTGAACATTTTTAGTCTACTTGCGAATGAAAGTAATTTTCCTTTTTCCGGTAGTAGCTAATATTTCATTAAGAGGGACGGATGTTTGTTGTTCTTTTGTTATAATAACTAATGAAAAGAAGTCGTTTTTTAAGCACTTCTTTGTTGGCTGTCTATCGTATTCAAAAATGTTTCAATAAATTAATAAATAAATGCAAAACACAGCTGTAGACCAATCAGCGCACGCGTTATAGTATTGTTTTTCTATTAATGAGAGTGCTCAGCGAAACAATAAATTATATGATGTACATTACTGAGCTCTCTCTCATACAAAGTAACTGTACAATCTCATCTAAATAGTACTTTTTGTTTCAGCTAAAACATTTTATTATGGCAAGTGCAGCTTCCCGAATCGGACTTATTATATTGTCTTTGTTGCAAATGGTAGGAAATTTTCATAGTTTGCTTTTGCATTTGAATTTTTAAGTCGTTTTTTACGTTTAAAGCATGGCACCTTTTTCATATTTTGATAAAAATTAAAATGATTCTTTCTTTCATGTATTTGTGAATAAACGTAAAATATATTTGTAATCAAGACTTTGTTTGTACTGACAAATTTCTGATGGAATGGAATATTTAAAATTGTGCAAAGTCAACTTTAGTGTATTCAACCGTTATATTTTGAAGTTTTATCACTGTATTAAGTTTTATGTTACTCTAAATCTAGTATTTTAATTTGAATAGCACATTAACAACTCCTTTCCTTATACAACAAAGTCTTAATTGGTTAAATGCTGATTATTACTAACGGATTGTTATGAATAATTTTGAATGAGGAATTATAATTCTTTAACAATTTTTTTCATTGTCTTTCAAGGTTCTTTTAGTAATAGCCCTTGGTTTTGTGGGATTTTTCGTAAGAGAAATGAACAAAACGTCTGAGAGAGAAGCTCGAAGAGCAACGATTGCTTTACAGTCAACAGTTGCCCCAGTTGCTAATGATATGGGAATCTTTGGACGCGAGGAATCCTTTCTTTTCTCATCCGCCATCGGAATTATCATTGCCTTTATCTCTATGATTATTGCGATTTCACAGTCTCATAGCAAAGCGCCTTGTGCTGCATCTGTAAGTATTCAATGGGTTTAGCGTTGAAATTTTAGCGTAAAAGTTTTAGCTTAGATGAGCTTTTTAACTGAATCATCTATACGAAATGTTGAGGGTAGGAATGACGATACGAGAATAGTGCAGTTTAATTAGGACTTCAAATGTTTGAAAACTATTTGTAAGCGATAAAAAAAGATAAAACTGCTACTAATAACGAAAATTATTGTTGCAAATGTATTGCAAACGTGTTTAAAATTGTCTAACTTAACTGTTATAAGATATTATATATAGCTACAATTTAAAGGACTAGCTATATTTTGCTTGCCGTAATGTTATTTTTTTTATTCAAGCATAACAATTTCTGTTATTCTTTAATCCAATGTGCAAAATAATTTTTGAATAAAATTTGAATATGAATGTTTACTTTATGTGCAAATTGTTTTGTTCGGCAGAAATGGTTTATAACCTTAAATGTTTCTCATGTTAGAGTCGCTCAGTAAAAATGGGTATGTTCTAGTCCCCCATTGTTTATCAGTGTAAGGATATTTTGTATTTAGCTGAATAAAAGTTGTTTCTAAATTGGTTAGTATTTTGATTCTCATGCAAATTTCTAGATGGTAACTGCACACATATTGCTGCTGCTTCTACTCGTGGTATCGTCGTCAATTCTCGCCAATACAGCAGAAAAATACGACTCATTACATTTATGTAAATCTCTTAAAGAAAATAAAAGTGACACACGATGCACTCATTTGACAGCTGGAGTTGTAAGTATTTATAGTAGAAAGCATGTGAGTAGAGTGGTATTATTCTGGCGAAAATGATGGAACATGTAAGGTGAAAGCGGCTATGTTGGTACGTCGTTGTGAAATGCTGATGTGCAACAGTGTATGAACACAACATAATGTTTTTACCATGGGGTGTTTTCATCGGTTGCCAGGTTAGCTAGTATAGAAAATCCCATATAATGAAAAGAATTTATGTTGATTTCATGCTGTGTTGAGCGTCGGCACTCTGATGTAACTAATCTACAAAAACATGGCTGCTTTGACGTCCCACACAAAACACTATAAGCGTATGGTTTTTACTGTCAATTTGGCTCCTATTAAAACTCTATTGTTTTTGATATGTGACAGCCTACGGTGTGGACATGGAGACTCTGAACGTTTTTGAAAATCGTCTTTTGTCAATTGCCCGAACAGTTTTTCGTGTCTATTGCACTGTATGTCATATTTACTGGTTTTTCTTTAATATCTGCATGTTAAAAATCAGCATTTTCCTGTAACTTTAGTGCCTTCAAAAAGGATATTTGACACGGTGAATAAAAAATATAGCCTATATACTGTTTCAGTATTTTCTTTCAAAACTATACGTTACATAATTTTTTTCACCATGGAAAATATGTTTTCCTTGGCCAAAATAATCATTCAAGTGGAAGCTTCTGGCTTATCACGTGTTCATCACGTGTTTTTTACATGTTCTTCATTCATGAGTGCAAAGAATTTCTGCAATATTAATATTTTCTGGAATATCACTCGTTTTTTTTAATCTCCAGGCTCTGGCATTTATTTCTGTTGTGCTATTTATTGGTAGCACCGTCATTTATTGTGCATCGTTATTAAACATGGTTCATATCAGCTTCATCAACATGGAAAGCGTACTAACTCCAGCAGAAGACTAATGTAGAAGATCAGTTAAATATGGCTACAATGAAGGATGAGTTATGCTATCATTGGTTTTGTTTTATTAATGTAGGTTATTCAGAAAAAAATGTGTTTTCTTCTCAATAAATATGTGGAATTAAATGTTGCACGCCAAATTCCGCTTTACATCAAATACTTATCAGTTGTATTAATAATTCTACAAGATGCGTAAAAATCTGATTCCAAAAGACCCGATGAATTTTTGTGCAATCAAAATTTTTCCAGTATATAAAGACCTGTTGTGGCAGATCAAATTCAAACGGAAAATTTCATATCAATTCCACGTGAAAAATAATAGCCAGCGAAAGGCAAATGACGCATGACAATGGTGAAATGGCGAATAGTACATAGCATTTGTAGACTGTGTTCTACACTCCTTGGGGATTAAGTTAACAAAGAAGGAAACGCCCAGTGTTGTTAGAAACAAAAGTCATTCGTTGATTTTCGTCAAATTGTAAACAGCAGTGTGACTATGACGTGTGGTGAAAACGCACTATATCAAACAAGTATTCAAGGTTAATATAACCACATCGCACAGACTCAAAGAAACTACAGACGACACTATCCAGCGTTGGGAACAGACATTTGGTATTATTCTCCAAAGGCAGATAATAAGGTAAAGCAAATATCGTCTTTTTCCTTTATGTTAGTAGTATTTGTTGCTCGAAAACCCTATACATGTCTAGTGCAAACGTGTATCAAGCATGCCATACTTTACTAGCTTTTTCATGGCTGAGAAGTAAGAATAAACTTTTAAAACTGCAAAAATCGTATGATGGATTACTTTGAGAACGGTTGGAAATTGACCTAATGCTGGTCTATGAATATCAAATTCCACGGTCTTTCTCAGACGGTATCTTGTGTCATAGATAATGATCATTTATAAAATGCATGATATCGTAGTTATTACTTGTTAAGTAGGTAAGGTTTCCTCTCTGGTTGTTTCATTTAAGGCAAAATCGGATGGAGAGGAGAATGATTATGAATGTAATCTACGGGCTTTAGGGTTTGCAGTTGCGTTTCCATTTTCCTTGCTATCAACAAAAGAAAGGAAACAAATATTAATGCTCACAATAATATATGAAAACTAAGCGCAAAGAGAAAAGTGCAAAGTTGTTCTATCTTTTACTACGATATGCTTTGTTATACAATACGTTCTTTTATACATAATGCGTTTATCAATCGATGAAAGTTTTTTAATTTTTATCTGTGTCTAACCCGTGATTTACGTAAATCTTTCAGCGAACTGTATACGTTTTATACTTATTAAAAGATATCCAGTAGTTTGCAGAATTGAATTAGGCACAACTAAGCATAACTTTCAATTGGCAAGCTCAATTAACAAAGAACAGCAATTCTTCCTACTTATTAATGACTGCATGGCCATTTTTTTATTATGACCTCGATTTTGCAAATTCGTCACATGGTTGCATCAATAATATATCGTATGTTTTGGACAGATTTGTTCTAAACGTCCTTCCTTTTTGAAAAAATCATGCTTTCAAGAAAGAAGACTAGATCGTTGCCTTACATTGACGTTTCTTTCTTGTATTGCTACTATAAAAAATAAAAGTAGGTAGAAAGGGGAAAAGAAAGGGCAAAACATATTTAAATGTGAACGGCCTTTACACAAGGGAGAGCTATTAACAATTTTGCACAGTTACAGAAAAGCGGCCAAAATTTGCATTACACTACATACAATTTGCATTTCAAATCATGTTACATTTTACTTAAGTCAAATGTTTCGCCAATAGTGAAAATCATCACTTCCAATCAAAGGATTCTAATCCATGCACGCAACACTCGTCATCTTCAATGGCCAATAGTTAAACAATCATCCTCCCTCGGTTGATATTAATTTTCGTGATCGTGTGTGGGAATTCAGAGTTTTAGACATCATTAGTATTTATCAAATTAGAATTCTCATCATGAGAAATCATTACTAGGAGATGGTTAACACATGTGCTCATTGACTTAGTGAACGTATTTTATGTTAATCATTGACCAACACTTTCCTTTGACAAAAAAAATTATTGGACGTTTTGAAGAACGTGGTATGATATTTCATAACAAAATTTGATGAATGCTTTATTTTACAAGGGAAAGATTTCATCATGGCAAGCACAGCATCCCGACTTGGACTTATTGTATTTTCTGTTACACAAATGGTGAGAAGTTTCATTGTTTGCTTTTGGGTACTTTTGCAAATAGGAGTTTTTAAGCCGTTCTCAATCTGAAATGTTACAGATATCAAATCCTCTTTTCACTTATATTCATTAAAAGTGATTCAGTAAACGCATGTACAAAAGTTTCTCTGTCAGCTCAATTGTTTTTGGATGTAAAAAATTTTTGCTTCATATTTTTTAATGAATATTTGTGACAATTGATGGAAAGAATATGAGTGTATACTCTATCACTGAACATCAGACAGACTAAAATCCGAAAAAGTACACCACACTGGTGGTAAGTTTGCCAACATTCATCAGACAGCAAACATTTGAAAAAACACGGCGTTGTTGAATTATTCCCTTCAAGTATTCTGTAGTAGTTACTTCATAAAAATTTCAATGGCAACTATCTTTGCACACAAAATGCATGCCCTTCGCAAAAAACAGCGAGTTTTGTTTTTTCAAAGTCCCGATATTTCCCGAGACAAAGGTAAACAGTGTAAAAGCAATTTTTGAGTAATTGGTTATCAATAATTGGTCATACAGCGTCATAATTTTAATTGATCGCACATAAATGACTTTTTTCAATTGATTTTAGTAATCTTCAAACTCGTGGTTATGATTATCACATGTAGAATTGTAAATCTTACAAGAAGCCCTATTTCTAAATTGTTGATATCAACCTCACGATATTTAAATATGTATATCGTTTGCTCTTTTAAGGTTTTTTTAGCATCGTCGCTGGGGTCTGTGGGATTTTTCTTGAATGAATTTAACAAAGCCGAACAAAAACAATCATCTATTGCCGATGATGTAGGTCTCTTTGGACGCGAGGAATTCTTTCTCTTTTCCGTTTCTATTGGTATTGTCATTGCCTTGTTTTCGATGATCATTGGGATGACACAGTCCCACGAAAAAGCACAATATGCAGCATCTGTGAGTAGTTAATAAGAGTTATACTACTTTTACTTAAAGTTAAGATAGTTAGTTTTTCAATCATGTGTGAACGGGTTGGTGTCCTAATTCTAAAACAGTTCTTTTCAAACCTCCCGGGTTTCTTTGGTTTGTTTTAGAGTTTCTTACTTTTCTTTGTTTTCTCTTTCGTTTTTTGAGTTGCAATATTGGTTTTCGAAACTCTTGGGAACTTTTGGCCATTCATCGTGGAAATTCTAATTTCAGGGCAAAAAATAAGAAAGTTGCTACTGGTTGCTGTTTTTAACAGTGTAGAATCAAAAATGAGGTTGAGTGAATTTAATATAATTTAATTTTGTCCATTCTTTTGTTTTTTTTTTCTTTCAACCATGCTCGTGAAAAAAGATGTTAGCTGCGCATGTGCTGCTGCTGCTACTCCTAGTAGTGTCATCATCACTTCTGATCAAGACAGAAACAATCTACGACAGAAACTTACTATGCGACGCTTTAAAACTGGGAACTGATGCACGATGCTATCAGCTGATTATTGGAGTGGTAAATGCTCTTTTGTACTTACAAACACCGTTTAAGAAGTTTTTACTTAGTATTTGAATTATATCACTTTTAGTAAATAATATGGAAAAAAAACATAATCATTAACCACATTGTTGGGTAAACATTTCAGCGTGAAGTGGGCTTGAACTGAAATTTCTGGAAGTTTTTTATAGAAATCATGCATAAATTTGCTTCGTCAGCGGTTCTAGACTTCTAGCAGCTAAATGTTCATTCTAGCTTCAATATTTTTTACGTTTTGTATTATATGTTTGTAAATGTTTTTTAATGCATCACTTTTTTATTGCCCTTAGGTATCTGCTTTCCTCTCTGTCGCGTTGTTCATTGGAAGTACCGTCATTTACTGTACATCTTTATTAGGGACAGTTCGAATCAGCTTCATCAACATGGATAATTAATCCAGTTGAAACGTAGTGTAGGAGATCAGTGTAACATGTCTCTTTTTTTACTCAAATAAAGTCATTTTTCGTGATGGGTATTAAAAATAGCATGAGATTTTGTGTATTTCGTTCAATGAAGGTGCACAAAGCGATAACATTGTGCGTGCGTCTTCTAACGTTCCACGTGAAAAATAATAGCCAGTGAAAGGCGAATGACGCATGACAACGACGAATAGTACATAGCATTTGTAGGCTGTGTCCTACATTCCTTGGGGATTAAGTTAACAAAGAAGGAAACACCCAGTGTTGTTCGAAACAAACGTCATTCGTTGATTTTCGTCAAATTGTAAACAGCAGTGTGACTATGACGTTTGATGAAAACGCACTATATCAAACAAGTATTCAAGATTAATACAACTACATCGCACAGACTCAAAGAAACTACAGACGACACTATCCAGCGTTGGGAACAGACATTTGGTATTATTCTCCAAAGGCAGATAATAAGGTAAAGCAAATTTCATCTTTTTCCTTTATGTTAGTAGTATTTGTTGCTCGAAATCACTATACATGTCTAGTGCAAACGTGTATCAAGCATGCCATACTTTACTGGTTTTTCATGGCTGAGAAGTAAGAATAAACTTTTAAAACTGCAAAAATCGTATGATGAATTACATTAAGAACGATCGGAAATTAACCTAAACGCTGGTCAATGAATATCAAAATCCACGGTCTTTCTCAGACGGTATCTTGTGTCAAAGATAATGATCATTTATAAAATGTATGATATCGTAGTTATTACTTGTTAAGTAGGTAAAGTTTCCTCTCTGGTTGTTTCATTTAAGGTATCTTTAATGTGGTATAAATTTTACTTAAGGTGACGATTTTTACATGATGGCCGATGATCTTTTCAGAAGAACTCTCCTTATATTTTCTTTTGCTCAAATGGTAAGAACTCATATGTGTGACACGAAGCTGTTGTTGGCTCATTCCAATCAATAATTTCTATAATTTTGAGGTGGAATAACAGCTTTCACACTCTCTTTATCTTCGTTACGGGTTAAGATGTACGATAATGCTTTTAACATAATACATAATTATGTGTATCTGAAAGGCAGAGTACAATTAACAGTTTAACCCACTACAAGCTGTACAATACTGATGTTCATTGATGACTTAAACAAAGGTTATGTCTATAGAAACTGGTTTTAAATTAACATAGAGTTGAATTAATCAGCCAGCCGTGAGCTTTAAATAATTTTAATCTTATTATATTACTGTTCAAAATTGATTTTGTTTTTAAAAATACACGAAATTTATACTCCTCGGATTTTTGGATACGCCGCTATGTTGTTCTTCAAACTTGATATTACCACTCAAAATTTTCAAGTTTTAATGCGTAATGCGCATGCCCTTTTTTTTTCAAGAGCACGGTTGGCAGGTCCAGCGTAGGTCATAATAAATTTCTCATCCTTATTTTTAAAAATGCGTTCATAACAATGCAATTGCTCAAAACAGCTGTTTGAAATGCTTCAAAAACTGTTGCTAACATTGCATAGTGAATCGAGACTTAAATTATACCTTTCGACCCACCCAAGTCGGCTGGTGCCATCAATGGCGTTGATAAAATATTCTTTTGTATTTAACAACCAACATGGCTGCCGTGACGTAGCTTGCAACCACCTATACATTTTAAAGGAAAAAATTAAAACGTTTGTTTTAAATTCATTTGTTTTGCAATGTTATTTTGCAAAAAAATGAAAAAGATTTTTTGGGTTAGCTGTATCAGCGTGAAAAGTATGTTCTCTGTCTTCTCCCCAACAATAGATAATTATGGTGGTCCCTACTGCATCAATATCGCATTTCATGGACAACGCTGCTTACAGTTTGCCAGACATAAAGAAAGAAACATTCATGAATTCTATATTTTACGGACGACAGGAGTACTTTATTTTTGCTGCGGCCTGCGGATTAATCATTTCCTTCATCTCTTGGCCTATTGCACTTGCACGAGCTTACAATAACTTAGCTTGTGCTTCTTGTGTAAGTACTACATCATGTATTTATCAAATGTACGGGTAATAATAGCTTGTTCATTTAATGGATTAACTTGCTTCTTTAGAATAGCTAAATTCAGGTAACAAAATGTTTTCAAAGCCAAATAGTTTCATTTTGTAACGGTCACTGTTTGTTTATACTCCAAGACACTGTTTATTTGTACTCCATGCCATTGCTGTTGTGGAACATAAACAAACACTGGCTTCGGCTAACGCTAACCTCCGCTTATACTTAAAAATACTGGATATTATTAATAAATAATTTTCTTATCACTTCAACGTGATAAATTGAAAAATGAGTAAAAGTAAAAAAGTCAAATAAATTCAGTGACTCGATTTTCTAGATAATTGATTACAGTTGTAGAAATGACGGAAACTATTGTAGATATGACGTCATAGTTACAAATATCAGGGGAATCATTTGTACGTGAACGAATCAGTCTTAACCGAGCTTTTTTACATACAGTGAATAACATTGTCATGTATTCTTACTACAGATGGAATGGTTGCATTTGTTTTCGGTTCTTTTCCTGATGGTGTCATCAATGCTTCTAGGAAAAACAGCCATCGCTTACCATGACTCATTTGTTTGTGAAAACAAGAACGCCTTGGGCAAGGATGCGCACTATTATCAGTTGGCGATTGGAGTGGTAAATATTAATATTTTACATTTTATAGCATGGAGACTAATCATTGATTTTTTTCGTGGTCAGTATGTTGCTGTCATCTCCTTTCAATATTTGGAGATAGACAGTCGCTCTTCGTGCCATGGCAACTTTTTTAATTACGTAGACAATTATAAAATACTTTGTTTGATGGCTGCCTTTTATATAGTCCGAGACCAATTACCGCATGACAATTACCTTAGTTAACAACAAAACACTGACATTAAACTCAGTGGCAAAATCCAGCGTATGTTAAAATACATCAATGGAAAATATATTTCCATTTTAAAATACTTCAGTCTTCAGAGTGAATCCTATTGAGAATATTTTAGTCTAAATATTTCCCGCCAATTTTCAACCAGCAGCTCAGCTATATAAGCATCTGAATTTAAAATGAGCTATAATTTATTTTGACTTACCCTAGACTCCTCCATTGAATGTACCGAAGCGTAAACGCTTTTTTATACTGTTCCTTTCGCCAATTGTCCTGGGGCCTTGTAAAATACACTTAATGCATGCTTCCGACGGATATAGTACGTTTTGTTTTCCGATAGTGTCAACATTGCATGAGACTCGAGGATAACAAAACTCACTATTTCCAGAAGTAGCGTACATTAAGTGTTTGTTATGTAGGAACAAATCATAAATTCGGCAGCTCTTTAATAAACTCGACGTCTTTCAGGTTGGATGCTTGGTCAGGCGAAATATCTTTTTAAAATGTATATAGCAAACTGCAGAATTTTTTCGTCGACTTTCAAGTGTTTTCAGAATCCTTTTTGAGATTAATAGTTGAAATTTTTCGGAAGTAGATGAGCGACAATTTCACTTGCTTCCTTTGCGGGAAACAGTGCATTTCAGGTCATGTGACTACAAATGAAACAATCAAATTTAACATGCACAACACCTATGTAACAATATAATTTTATTGTCCTAGAAGTAACAGGAGTAAAATGCATTTTACGAGCTACATTTATTTACTTAAACTCAATCTGTCTTCAAACATGGTGCATTTCAAGATGTACTCGTTTGAATTCGAACATTTCGTCTGCCATACCTGACTTAAAAAAGCAAAAAGCAAAATCACGTGGAACAGATTATGCAAACATATCCTTCTCGTATCATGTTATTCATATGAAGAATTACCAAATTAGATTGTCAATATAAAATAAAGTTCTTCGGCTCGTTATTATTATATCGTTGTCGCACCATAAAATTCCGGACCTCTGTCGTAAATTATGTGTAAAACAGTTTTAATGTTCGAGTTGTAGGTGTAACCTTAACAAACCAGCCTTTCTAATGGCCGCCATCTTTATTGACTTTTGAAAATCAGCTTTTCATTTCTAACAATGCATTTGAGTGAAATCATAATGACGTTTCATTAGAAATGGTGACGTCATTAGGAAACAAAGAAGACTTCATCTCTCTTACAGGTTTGTGGTTTTTTGGCTGTCCCATTGTTTCTCGCATGTAGTCTCATTTTTCACGCGTCAATGTTTCACGATGCAGAGGACTTCGAGGTATCGGATAATGAAGTAAATTAGAAGTTTCGCGAAGAGAGTTAATAAAGCGTTTTAATTTTTATCACTTTCATTATGTACACATCTTATAATGTCATAAAATATTAAGAACACGTAACTTAACTTAGCAAAGTCTCACTCGACAGAAAATACTGTCTGCGAGCAAGTGTTGGCTCGATGGGCACTTTAGGTCTTAATGTAAATTTGATTATTAACACAATCTATAAATATCTTGTATTTATCATTATAATTATTATATTTACTATTATTTTTATTATATATTTACTTAATAAATGTTCTTGAGATAGACGAATGTTTAAGCTATTGATTTTGAAGAAATAGAAAAGCGCCTGTTTGATTTTACCAAAACACATGTAAAAGTTTTGTTTATCTTCGATTGCGTCAGCCAATGCCCTACTTCATTGCTGTTTGTACTGATTCTGCTGTCACTGAATTCTGCTATTTCGTCTCCTAATTTGCAAGTTTACTTAAGGTACTTTAACACACAACGATTTGTCAAGCCGATACCGACGGCATTATACGTGATTCTTGCTATATTTGGAAATTTGTCGTCTACAACAAATCGCTGGGTGTAAATAATTCATCGGATGTATTTACGCGATGTTAAAAGCCGAAAAAGAAAATAAACAGGTCAAAGAACAACTTGTCATTGTAGCAACAATCAAGGCAATGCTTGTTATTATTACCTCAAAAAATAAAGAAAAAAAGAAATAAAGATCAGTCTAGGGGAAGTGCGAATCGAGGTAAATTTGCCGAATTTCCTTTTCAGAAAATAATCTTGACTGTTTTCATTTTCTGAATCTCTGCAGCTTTTGGTTCGATAAAAACAACAGCCCTCTCGACATTTTCCTTTTCCACGTTGACAGATGACATTTCGATCATTATTTTTCGATAAACATAATTTGCTTGTTTCATAAGCTATAGCAACACAGCAAAAATCAGGATCAAATCTGTAACTTGCTAGAGATTTTCATTCGATTTTTCGAGTCGAGTGACTTTCCAAATATGGCAAGAACACGTAATATGGCCTCAGTGTCGCCCCGGCGAATATTTGTGTGTAAACGTACCTTTAATGTGCTTTGTGGATAAATATCACAGTTTATGACAAAGTGAGGCACATTTTGCCCGTGTCATTTCGTTCAGATACGCATCTGACTGTCTTAAATGGTCTTTTCTAGGACCAATATAAAACCTAACGGAAAATACCATCTATATCAACATATCCTAGATATCTTATGCTTCACTTTGTAAAATGATCATTTAAGACAAAACAAAAACTTTTATTAACATTACATTAACACCATTTATGTACACCAAAGTATATTAATTAGGCTACGGAGATATTAAAATCTTTCTTTACCAACGTGTCTTTAAAGTCCCACTGCCTAATGAATATATTATGAATAGTAAATGTGACTTTTAAAACACTTATGTTGGTAAAGAAAGGGTAAATATTCTTTCAACAGACTATTCTCCCTGCTTGTCTAGAATAAAATAGTTTTGTGTTTGTGTGTGTGTGTGTGTGTGTCCTGTTTGGATTAGATTTCAGTGGGTTCTTGTTGCTGTTTAATGTCAAACTTTTTTTGTTAAATTCTGTTACCTCGCTGCTGCATTCCTCCAATCAAGGAAAGGAGGGATATGCACTTTTGCATCCCTTCCCCTAAATCAATGCCATCAGCCATTACGCTACTGGAGTGTCATTTGTAGAGCAATTTTGGAGACCAATATTGGAAACACGTTCGTCTACAGTTTATCACTCATAACCATTTGTCCAGTTTCCTTTTTTTTCATTTTATTTCTTTGCAGTTTTTTCGTTTTACGTTTGAAGACATTTAAACTTGCGCCACAGGAACGTTGTCGAAGAGATACTGTGAGCCTTGACAGTCCCTTTTTTCCCTAAAGCGAGAAAATAGAGCAATGAAAATCAGCATCCACGTCCACGACATATAGGTCGAGTACATAGAGGCTGAGTTCAGTTGTCTAAATACTGGGCTGAAACTGATGATATAAACACACAAGCTTGTAGTAACGCAAGTTTGGCAGTTTTGAACTATAGGGCGAAAGATTTACTAGTGTCTGACTCTGAAGAATTAACGATGAAACAACAGTCGAGAATTTTTGACGGGGTAAATTTACTTTCAAAGTATTGCGGTTTCAATAACGACATGGCAAAGACATCATGCAACTAGCATTTTTCATTCAACAAAATTGAAAATGATTCAGCCGTGGGAAAGTGAAGATGCAAGCTGAAGCAATTTCTACATGACGAAATAAAATTTGAAAGCAAGCAAGCAAGTTTTGTTATTGATGAAAGCAAGCAAGTTTTGTTATTGATGTGGGATATTTAGTCTAAACATCCCCAACAAAAATATTGATGAGGGATTAGTACTAAATATCCTTCATCCATATAATTGAGGGAAATACTTTAGTAAATGTCCCTGTGATAACAAATGATCCCGATGCAACAATTTTATTAATTATCTAAAGAATGTTCTCAACAGTCGCCATGTATCGGAAAAATCCCCTATAGTGTAAAGATTTTGTTGATTTCATACTCTATTGAGCATCGACACATTGATGCACTCCCACTAAATAGCCGCTTCGACGTCATATGAAAACTCACCATATCATCTAAATATGTGTATTTACCATATCATCTAAACTCTCAATATCATCTAAATATGATAACATTTTTAGGTGTATGCTTACCGGGCATTATATTTTTTTCGACAAATGAAAAGCACCATGACAGCCAGTGCTACGATAATCACCAACACAACCGAAATGATTAACCAGGTAAGCCAATTGTTCTCATCGTTACCAATTTTTTCCGTTGAGGAAGACGCAGATGGGATGATTCTTTCAGGTTTTTGGGTAGTGCCTCCTACTGAGGGCGCTGTGGTGCTAGGCGAAGATGTTCGAATGGTGGTCGGTGTCGTTGATGGACTCGATGTAATGGAAATAGAAGATGATGGTTTTTCTAAAGAAAAGTAAAAATTCTACGCTTAATTCAACAAACAAGTCACATCTAGGAAAAACAATACGTGTATCGATGCAAATATTTCAATTGTGTTCAATGCATATCCTGGGAGATATCACGACCTGGATCAAGGATCTTACTCATAAAAAGATTTAACAAAGGATCATATTGGGATCTTATGGAAAATCTGACCATACGTTCCAAGATCTTAACTGAGATCTTACAGAGGATCTTAAACAGAATCCTATCCTACCAGGATCTTATGTTTGTTATATTATCTTATCAGAGATAAGATCGTATAGAACCATAAAAGTTCTTAACTAAGAGCTTATAGAAGAGCTTAAGCAGGATCCTACAGTGATTTGAGTTACATCTTTATTATTGAAACATACTCTTTGTGGATCAAAGTACTAATTTTACATGTTACTCACATATGTTTTAATAAATGTTTTCTGTAGTCTTTTTGTAAACGCAAAAAATAGGTCATATTATAAAATATTATATGACTACGTCACTTCCGGCAAAATGGCGCGCTTTGATTGGCTCAGAAACATTTTGCCGGTCCGTTATTTTCCCGTAATCGACCACGGTCCAAAACGCGTAATTTTACAGTAAAATGTACACGTACTTCATAAAGCAAACAGCAAAACGCAAAAAAAAAGAAACAAAGCCACAATTTGCAAATGTGAGTCGAAGGAAAAACACTCGGACAACAGTTTAACTATCCAGAAAATACAATTTGAAACGATTTATTTTTTATGGACGAAAAATAGCAAAGTGAAAGCCAACCGGAGAAAAACAGCAAGGACGAGAAAGAAAGCAATCTTCGTTTCAGGTCAAATAATGCCATATAATAAACCTTTTGAAAACCTCACTTTCTCAGTCTTTACTCAGTAATGTCGGACCTTTGTCTTTTTGTACAAACCTCGCCGTACGGGCTCGGTCTGTACAAAATACTTCGCCGATATTTCTCCGTAAAGATATCGCCCTCGGTTATTAAGGGCTTATTAATGTTTATAGTCATTAATATTTATTTGTTTGTAAGGATAAGATAGTGGGAGGTAGGGAAGTTTAGGTGGGGCTCTCTGAAAAAGTGAATATGTTGAAAAAGTGTACTGCATATGCAGCATTGATATTCAACATTGCGTTCAATATGGCTTTTAAATAAACCAGCAAAATAAATTCATTCTCATCAATAAAGTTTCCAACAATGATTTGAAGTCCCTCGGAGAAATACAATTTTTTACAATATGTTGTTGTGGAAATTGGAATGATTTTGAAGTAAAATGTGATTGCTTTGAATTTTTCACAAAATCAAATCACCACATTTTTACTTTTTTTAATTCATGTATGTCATTAATTTAAATGATAAAAAAATTTTACATTAAAAACTTCACAGTTGCTTATGAACCAAGCTTTTCAAAATTAGGACTACAAAGTACTCGTTAGGATATTTATGGACATGGTTCACATGACATGAAGGGAAAACCTCTTTGCCAAAATATTACTTAACGAGGTATCTCACCGTCGACGGTGACATATCGATGATATAAAACAGATTTAAAGAAATTTGTAGCCAAGTATCATTGATTTGTAACATTCAACCAAATTTAGAAAGCTAAGTGCAGCTACATGAATTTTTTCTTAAATAAATAGAAAGTGTTAATTTGTCATGTCATGTGTAATGTGGGCGAGTACTAAATTGTGAAATCAATCAGGGGCGGATCTAGGTATGTCAAATCAGTCACGCGACTGATGTTTATAATTCAAATATTATTTATCAAATTAAATGATTACAATTTTTTTTGATCATTAAATTTTCGTTTTGTAGTCGTTTGGATTTCATCGTCAAAATTCTGTTTTATGCATAAAAACTTATACAAATACCACCTTAGGAAACAGATCAGTCGATAAAAACATATCTAGAATTATATTAACTGACTGACTGATAAGCGGGGTGGCTCGACTGGTTCGACCGATAACGGAGGAAGAACGCTTATTTAAGCCATTCCATTGGTCAATAGCCTGATCAGTGGACGATCTGGAATAATCTCGACCGATAAGCGGGGTGGTCGGACCTATAAGTGAGTCCAATTGCTATCGTGTAGTTGGTTTGTTTAAGTTTTTGTCTTACTTTGATTGGTTTGACCGATTTCGACTGATAGCCAACTAAACTAACATAGTCAAGCTCACTGTCTGAATTGAATGTTTGATCGTTCATAGTAATAGTCTAGTGAAATGCCTAATAAACATTAATGTTAAAAGCTTTCACATCGTTATTAGAAACTGTGACAAACATCGCTGTTGTTTGATTTGTTTTCAAAACCAGCTTTTAATGGCAGTCATATTTGTAGAAACTATTATCTGTAGGTTATGACGTCATAACCTACATATATCGAGAATTATCTGTAGGTAGTTGACCAATCACAGCCGAGAATGCTCACATAGTGAATAATAAAAGAAAATAGCTGTATGTCATCGAAAAGTTGCACAACAAAGTTTATATCCCTTAGCCCAAAATTCCCTTTTCTTCATGAAGTTGAATTCGATCATATTGAAAGACTTTGCAGAATTTTTATCGACGTAATACCTAAACAAGGGCATGTTTTTGTCGACTTTAATCTCTGACACACCCATCTGCCAATCACTATCATTTTGACGGTCTCATGGGACTTGAGGAAGCATCGACTCGATGGTACCAGGCCATGTTTTTTACACAGACAAAGGTTGAATGTCTTCATGCAATCGTATGATGTCGTTAACAAAACACTACAGAAGAACTGTTGGACATTTCTGAATCTCCTGAATGCGGATTGTCTGGATTAGCAAAATATGCACCGATTGATAGCTATAATGTCCGAATTCTGAGAGCTCGCGCTTACTCTGTGCGAAATAAAATTACGCCCTCTCTAATCAATGACGAAGCCATTTCTTCAAATATAGCAAAATTTTATATCAAATCAAGTCATCAGTGGAGTGAAAATAACGTCTTAGAATAAATATGAGGTGTTTATAAAAGTCCCACTCAGTGAGTGTTAGTGTGAGCTTATAGTATACAGGTAAATACTCTGAGAAAATGATTCTCGTTGATTTCTGGGTGCTTATCAAAGCCAAAAAACAATAATCGTCATGTCACAAACATAGACTGAATCCTGGTTTGTAAAATCATTTGGTAAAAATTTCAACAAAGATGTATGACTTCTTTCATTTCATATGTGGAATTTGAATGAGCTCTTGCAACTTTTAAATATCTATTTCATATTGTTATTGATGTATGACACGTGAGCGTATCCTCAGTATAAGTTGTATGCTAGCAGCGACGGAGGTTGTGGCAGCACGATGGTAGGCTTATAGTGATGGAATGGATGGCAACACTATAGGAAAAGATGTTTGAAGAAAAGGAAAGAAAAGAAAATGGAAAAAAAATAACGAAGAAACATGAAATTAAAAAAGATCCAAAAAAGAAAGACGATGGCTAGGCAATGCTAATTGGAAAAAGTGTGGCATCATGCACTTATAATCATCCATGCATTCAGTACACGTATGTCCTAGCTTTCATGAAGTTCCTTGTTCCTCCAATATGACTATGCAGAACTTTGTGCAATTGTTGTTTACAATTGATAGACAAGATATCTCAAAACTTAAAACAATCAAGGTTGAACGGCCTAAGAGAAAGATTCTACAAAAAGCTGCAGGAAATTTGTCTACATGTGCAGTGGTTGTTTTTTAGTCACTCTAGAAGTTATATACAACTCTCTTATGGAAATCAAAATCATCCAATTTGCTTCTTCAGCGGTTCTAGACTTCTATCAGCTAAATGTCCATTCTAGCTTCAATATTTTTTAAATTTTGTATTATTTGTCTGTAAATATTTTCTAATGCATCACTTTTTTATTGTCGTTAGGTATCTGCTTCCTCCATGTCGCGTTGTTCATTGGAAATACCGTCATTTACTGTACATCTTTATTAGGGACAGTTCGAATCAGCTTCCTCAACATGGATAATTAATACAGTTGAAGCGCAGTGTAGGAGATCAGTGTAACATGTCTCTCATTTTTTACTCAAATAAAGTCATCTTTCGTGATGGGTATTAAAAATAGCATGAGATGTTGTGTATTTCGTTCAAAGAAGATGCACAAAGCGATAAATATGTGCGTACGTCTTCTAACATTCCACGTGAAAAATAATAGCCAGCGAAAGGCGAATGACGCATGACATTGGTGAAATGGCGAATAGTGCATAGCATTTGTACGCTGTGTCCTACACTCCTTGGGGATTAAGTTAACAAAGAAGGAAACACCCAGTGTTTTTCGAAACAAAAGTCATTCGTTGATTTTCGTCAAATTATAAACAGCAGTGTAACTATGACGTGTGGTGAAAACGCACTATATCAAACAAGTATTCAAGGTTAATATAACTACATCGCACAGACTCAAAGAAAGTACAGACGACTGTATCCAGCGTTGGGAACAGACATTTGGTATTATTCTCCAAAGGCAGATAATAAGGTAAAGCAAGCTCATCCTTTTCCTTTATGTTAGTAGTATTTGTTGCTCGAAAACACTATACATGTCTATTGCAAACGTGTATCAAGCATGCCATACTTTACAAGGCTTTTCCATGGCTGAGAAGTAAGAATAAACTTTTAAAACTGCAAAAATCGTATGATGGATTACATTGAGAACGGTTGGAAATTGACCTAAACGCTGGTCTATGAATATCAAAATCCACGATCTTTCTCACACGGTATCTTGTGTCATGGATAATGTTCATTTATAAAATGTATGATATCGTGGTTATTACTAGTTAAGTAGGTAAGGTTTCCTCTCTGGTTGTTTAATTTAAGGCAAAATCGGATGGAATGAATATGAATGTAATCTACGGGCTTTAGGGTTTACAGTTGCGTTTCCATTTTCCTCGCGATAAATAAAAGAAAGGAAACAAATTTTCATGCTCACAATAATATATGAGAACTAAGCGCAAAGAGAAAAGTGCAAAGTTGTTCTATTTTTTTACTACGATATGCTTTGTTATACAATACGTTATTTTATACATAATGCGTTTATCGATCGATGAATTATTTTTAATTTTTATTTGTGTCTAACCCGTGGTTTACGTAAATCTTTCAGCGAACTGTATACGTTTTATACTTAGTAAAAAAATGTCCAGTAGTTTGCAGAATTGAATTAGGCACAACTAAGCATAACTTTCAATTGGCAAGCTGTTCACAGTGCAACTTTCTTGTATTTCTATTATAAAAATTAAAAGTAGGCAGAAGGGGGAAAAGAAGGGGCAAAACATATTTAAATGT